GGCCAGCCAAACGATCCGGCGAACCGACCATGCTTGAAAAAGACTTTGAGCATCGCCCGTCCCAGGAGATGGACCCGTAACGAAAAGCAGGCGGCGGGTCACAGTCAATCCGACGCTCAGAGAGAAAATGTAGATATCTGCAGGCGACCAACGCGTGATGTGAGCCACGAACGTGATGAATGATAGAGCGAAACGCTGACCTTCGCCCATGCGATGTCTCTGATATACATGACTCGTAGTGTGTCCGTCGGACTTGGAGCAACAGAGCCACGATAGCTGAACAATGGCGAGGACATCCGGGGGTACAATCGCACTTGCGTCGACACGCATTGAGTATCTGTGGCGAGTGCTCGCGGCGGCGAAAAGCCAAGCGAGTGGCCAGTGTTCGGAAGTGCCAAACGACGCGGCACGCCGGATACGTTCGAATCCCGAGCCGCACGAGACGAGCTGTGTCGGAGAGCCCTCGGTCGCCGGCCATCTGACGGCCCCGAGAGAGAGCCCTTCGAGATGCGGCAGTGCGCCAAGAACGCGGATCAGACCGGACGACGAAGGGAAGCGCATGCTGATCAGCTGGAGCGAGCGCAGGCTATGCAGCCCGTTGAGCACCGGCCTGTCGCGCCACGCGTAGATGCGCATGTACCCGAAATGCCCAGCGACCCGCAGGTAGGAGAGGTTGGGCAAGAACTGCAGAAGCGTCCTCCATTGTGGCCAGGGCATCTGCATCGCATCGCCCTTGCGACGGTTTCGGAAGAAGACTGAAGTAATGCGCTCGCGCAACCAGCTCGACATTGGGTTCTTAAGAATGTTGGTGAGGATTTGGATGTGTTCTGGGGACTCGAGACATGGCTGCTGGAAGAGAAAGTGTCGGAAGGAGCGGCACCAGTGCCAACAGACTAGTGAAATGTGCGAGATCCGGCACTTGATGGCACGTTGGCGTTTTTTGCGAGTTATGCTCATATCGTTGTGGACAACTGCTACGAGATGGTCGAATATGACTGCGAAGACTTCGACCGGAAGGGCATGCCAGAGAGATACAGCGCCGGGTGCAAATTCGTTAACGGAGAGGTCATTGTCAGCCAGGTTTGTATGATTCTTCGGGACTAGTAACGGGTGGTCAAGATTAAAACGTAGCTTGTGAGAAAATGAGGTCTGACCTTCGCCCCCATCCTCTGGACCTTTGGAATTGTGCAGTGAAACACTGACGGGCGACCCCGAAGCCGTCATCTCCATCGAACGGTCGTTCGGAGTGACTTTGAGCAGGTTTAGCCATCTTTTTATCAGATATGCATGAGGAGGAAAACAGACCTTGAGGTACGTAGTCCGACGTGCAGGACAGCCCGGCAGCTGTCTAGTCTTGTACAATTTGCGCGCATCAAATTGCACACATGTCATCAAAATCGGCCAGTGTTTCAAATTTCAGGCCTAGCCTGTTCGATTGTACGGTCTTGGCGGAAAGTTGCGAGGACGCTACGTGACTAGCCCACCTAAACATTCTAGTATACCGATGCTTTCATGAGCGAAAATGTAGACGAAAATGGTGCGCAGGGTAACAAGAAAAGACGAGATGACTTCAGGGATCGCACCGAGGGTCGGGCGTGATGTCAGTTGCCAAGCAAATGTTACGGATCATGCCAGAAAATCTGATCGAGATCAAAATTACTAGAGTGCATGACGCAAATGTTGCCTCGTTCAGCGACAGGCCGGTCGCAGTGTGGGCCCTAGCCAAGGCAGCAAAGCAATGACCCGTACTTGTCGGGACAAATTCATTGCTTGTAAATAGACACATAAATACAGAATGCGCGTGCAGGCCAGAGGCGTGAAACGGGGCATCGTATCCGCGAGGCAAGCCCAGACAGAAAGCTGAAGCGGCCCTCGGGCCTCGGCCGGTTCATACACCCAAAGTCGTGGGCGCCGGCGACCTGAGCGGACACCCGCACCTGCGGTCGGCCGTTTTAGGTACTCAAGCCTTGGAGGGAAGCTGCGTGAAGAACGGTTTCGCATTTCGTCGAGCCGAATGGCGGGTTGCATCGCGAACGCGGTGCCAGAGTATGATCACGAATTTTTGGGCGTAGTCTTAGGCGTGCTGGACGTGAAACTTGTCAACAGCCGCATGTAGTTCAGGGATTGAGAAAAGGAGAGACATACTTCTGTGACGCAGTCATATCTGTTTGATGGTCGGGCTGTAATAGTAAGGCTGGCGCAGGCTGTACGACATCGGCACATTGGGCGGTCAAATATAATGCATTATAATGCACCGTCGGGCATTTATAATGCGTTATAATGCGATTTTTAGTGATTTTTGAGTTTATAATGCAAGATAACGGACCAGATCGCATTATATTGCATTTTAATGCAATATAATCTCCGTCCCTTTTTGCCGATGGATGGCAGGGATAGACGCCGGCGCATCCCAGGGAATGTAACACCTTCTGGGAATAAGTCTGCAGGCAATCCAATATCAGACACTAACCGATTCACGGCCAGGTAATACTGGTGTCGTGAGCTGCAAAGAAGCATGGCGGCAACAACCCTCGTCATGTACAGGTGTAGCGATCGAAGTGGGCTACATGAGAATCGACGCGTCAGTATAATGCATTCGCAGACGGAAACCATACGTACCAGCACCATGGAAGAACGAAAGAGAGGAGGCAAAAGACGTAAAGAGGCTCTAGAGTGAGAAATCCTAAGGGCTTGTCGCACGTTCCAGCACCGGCTCATAGAGGCAAGTCCAACACGCCGTCGTGAGCCCGCCGCAACGGCATCATATGATTCATACCTGTCCTCATCCTGCCAAATCACACGAACCCATCACATGTGTGATTCTAAACATAAAATGATGACAATCGACTCAGCAGCAGTAAGCATTATGCTATGCTTCATAGATCACATCTAACAAGATGAGAGCGGTTCGTTGGCTGCAAGAGGCGTCAGTCAAGCTGGGGAATATCGTGGTTGTCAGTTGCTCAGATAAAGTGATTAGAACATAACCAATCAGGATTCGTCACATGCAGGGGAAACAGAGGTCGCACCGTACCGCGTCTATAGCGTAATCCGAGTCGGCGTCGGCTGGACTCGGAATCTCAACGGGCGCTTTGAATGACATTTGTAAAGGGTATTCTGAATGACTGTACCGAAAGATTGTCCAAAGACCGAGGCCGCATGTCAACTTCTGAGTTCGCAGTAGTAGTCGAACATGCCCATCAGAAGTTGCTGAGAGCCGCCGTCAGCGATAGCACAAGGCGAATAAAACTACTGCAACAGCTCTTTGAGAAGGCAGCCGTTGGCCTTGTACAAGCTTTGACGAAATTGTGT